AAAAACAAATCCCCCCCAAAATTGGGTTTTTTCCGGGGGAAAATTCCTCCCCCGTGTTTTTTTTTTTTCCCTTTTTTTTTTTTTTTTTTTTTTTTTTTTTTTATGTTTTTATATATATACTGAACTTAAATCTAGTTACTTCTGCACTCTAGCACCAAGACTATAATCTGACTAATTCCAAAATAAGAAATACATTTGACATATTTTGACTATGGTTGGGTTCAAGGACTAATTTGAACAGGGAATCTTAATTTGTGAGAGTTTCATTTTGTATAGAAACACTGAAACTAATGCATCTTTTTTTTTTTTTTTTTTTTTTTTTTTTTTGTCTGTGTTGAAGGTCTGCTGCCTGACCACAAACCCAAACTTCCAGAGGATCACGTCCCAAAGAGACCTAAACCCCAACTGAACAGGTGCTGCTTTGAGTCTGTAGCAGCTTGTGTTTTTCCTCCATTATCTACATGCATTCTTGGCGGGTTTAATGCTACAAAACATTCTTCTCACATCTGCGTTTGGTTAACAGGTACTTGACTCGCTGGTCCATTGATTCGGTGAAACCCATCTATAAGAGAGGACTGAAGTGGTGCAAGAAGCGCATGGATGTAGGTCACCCAGCACTGAGGAACAACGTGCGGTACGGAGTGAAGCCGCTGTACATAAAGCACTGAAGGACAGAAAGGACAGATCAGCTGGAGGAGGCGGGGTCTTCGGTTTTTATTTGATGTAATCTGGATTTATGTCATAAAGGCGTGGGAGACAGCCCGTCTGAAGCATAACTTTTGTTTATTAATCTGCATCAGACCTATTATGAGTCATTATCAGCCCCACCCAGAACCATCTTTCCTGACTTTCCAAACATTCTCAGACAACTTTAATGTCACCAGCAACCGGGCTCAGTGTTACACTTTCAAAGTAGGCGGTATGTTGACTGTCTAAACACAATGCAAAACAGATGTTTAAATAAAATGACAATGCTTGCTCTCACTCTCACCATTTGTTTACTGTGTAACAATAGCTTTTGTAGAAGAGAACCGAAAGGCTCCTTGTTAACTGATCTTAGTCACTCTAAAGACTGGGGAAAAAAAAAAAAAAATTAAGAACTTTGAGATAAAAAAAAACAGCATGTTTATATTACAGCATGAAAGGAAGGTCCCGGTTTTTCAGCCCGTTGCCGATGTAGATGTATCCATGCTGTGGCGTATTTGGCACATGGTAGAACGTGAGTCCAAACCACAGGAGGCTGCGCAGCACACACACTCTGCTGGCACACTCAAACTGAAGACTCCACGATCCTAAACACAAACATGGCAAACCTGTAAACAGTTGGCATTAAACCACAGGAAGTTGCTACATCCTGCTTTCTGCATTGAAGTAAATCCCGCAGTAATCTTTGGGAACACCATCTCGTTCACACGTAGAAAACTGCCAAGGGACACACTAATAAATCATCCCTTTGTGCATTTTGATGTCTGCCGTCGAGCTCGTTTCTCAGCATGTTTGGGTGGGACCATCAACATGAGGGACATGGGAGTTGAACGAGGGCCGAATTGGCCATTATGAAAACATTCGATTATACAAAAGAGAGGCAATTCTGATAGATAAACGAGCTTTTCCCAAAGCTGTTTGTTTTGGACACGTCTTACGAATATGATGCAAGTCAAAGTAAAAACTGACACGGATGCTTTATTATGTAAGACGCAACTCATAACTGTTGCGGGGAAAAACAAAGGCACAGTAAATAAAGTTTGGCTTTCTCTGTGAGCCAAGGTCAGAGAAAGCCCCGGTATTTTGGCGCAGATATGTTTGTTTTCCTCCCCCCGTCTGAGGGATCATTTCTAAATATGCCCTCCTTATCGTTTTCAGTGAGAACGCTCAACCTGCTTCAGCAAAGGCTGGAGCGAGCGTCGTGCCGATCAGCTGCGTGCTGTCTGCTGTAGTGACGACACCGCTCGCGTAAACAAATGCACATGTGGAAGTTCTCCTGAGGCAGACATCTGTTAAGTGTTTGCTTGTGGGTGCTAAACATTTCTTCCAGTCCTCAGACATGCACATAGCTTTCCACCCAGGACCTCTCTGTGCATGTTCGCTCAGGCCTGGATGGGATCCAGCGACAAACCTCAGTGTTATGTTGACATGACTGTGCATATCTAAATTCACACGACTGGTTTGTACAGTATTTGTGGTTTAATGTTTGCCTCCTGAATTTGGCTTTTCTTCATTTTTTTTATTTTTTCCATTACATGGAACGCTTTAGGCTGGCGGCACTAAAACACAGCAGTGAGAAAGCTAACTATCTCATTCCATCTACATTTTGCACATTCAGTGGAATATTTCTGATTTACTTTTCTCTCACTTTTGCGATCCAAAGTCCAGACAATTTAGATCAAACCAAATAGTCTTATCATTGGACTGCATAAATAAAAATGTATATATTTTGTAAAAGAGGAATTCTTATATATATATATATATATATATATATATATATATATATATAAATAATTCTAGAAGGTCTATCCAATTTAAAAGCAGTGTAACACTAGGCATTTTGAAGTTTATCAGTATAGTCCTCTTATGCAACAATCTTAATAGTACAAAAAATTTTATTTACCAAAAATTCACAGGCCCCAACTGATATGTGATGGTTCTTCTGTTGTAGCACCTTGTAATACAAATCCAACCAACTTCAGTGTATATTATTGGGAATTTAGCTGATAGACCAATTTAAAGTAATGCATTATTATTATTTTGGGAAACTTATGTTTATACTTTTTTTTACACATAGAAATCTAAAAAGCATGGCATGGATTCACATTGTTCCTCAACTCAGATGGCCCTTTTCTTCAAATCCAGTACAATCATTTGCTTCTAGAAGTCTCCCCATAAGTATCAGGGGACACTTATGAGGTGAAGTTGTTAAGACGTTTAAAGCAGGGTTTGGCTATAAAACAATATTCCATCGAGAACAATAGGTGATCAGAGCAATAGGAGATGAGAGTACTGCAGCTTCACCTTTAGGAATGTCGTCACTAAGGACATCCAGGAAGTCGATGGCTGGGCACCAGTCCCCCATCCTTTCGAGATATAAAGTGTTTGCTCTCTTCGGTTCACGGAAGTGTAGAAAATTGTCAAGCTTCCTTGCTTCTGATTCAGAAAGACCTAAGAAGACAACAGAAAATTCACGTTGATACAACTGGAACAAAACAAGAATGTGTCTTAATACACAAAGTAGCCAAAGATACTGTAAACAAAGATGATGCCACCTTGAAATTTCTATCATGTCTAGCCACTTCAATCAAAAATGTCAGAGGTTCTTTAACAGAGGATGTCTGAGTCATTTGCATTCTTCGCATGATGCACAGTAAACCAGAGGAATCTGCACCACAAGATTTACAACAAAGTTACCCTCAAAACTGCGGTTGACATGGACAAGGCCAAGTGGGGTCCTGATGAAGGCACCTCGGGGCACCACAGACACTTCTTCATCGATCTGTTGAATAGTCACTGCCAGTCTGTTCTCTTCACTTACTCTGGTCTGTAACCAAGAAGGGAGAATGTAACTCAGACAGGACGCAAGGACTTCACAGAAAACACAGATGTGTTTCAAAGAAGACTTAAAAAGTAACCCTTGTTGTTGACGACCTGGTATGGAGTTTAAAAAACAAGAAACTTCATTACAATATTGGTAAATGCAATATCCATGTCACAAAATACAGTTTAGAGTGCAATTATTGTTGGCTAATCAATTCCAAATACAATAAACATGCATTTTTCATGCTAATGTAATATTTAGCCTGTTGGAAAGAGACTCATAGCTGAATTTCCTCAGAGCTCCCCTGGTGACGGCCTATGACGGCCAAGTTCAGATTTGTAATTGTTTGTTTTGAATAAGTGATCAAACGCAGTAAAGATTTCTTAAATCTCGAGTTTGCCTTGTAAAATAAATTTAGCAACAAATACAACTCTGAAACAAATTACTATCTTTAGCTTAAACGGTCGGCTATTTTGTACAGCCATGTCCAGAGTCTCCAATCTCCGTAACCTTTACCTTCTCCATAAAGGTTTATGCCGCCCTCTTTCATAATGGCAGCCTGGGCACTGAGCCAAATTACATCAAAAACAGCCATTGGACTATTGTGATTTTATTCACAGCCATTGCCAAACTTACCACGTTAATCTCTGCTTCTTCTTCTGTCTCAATCGGAAAGTACAGATTTTGTTCATACACATAAGAGGGGTCTCCTATGAAATGACCCTTAGCAGTTTTGGTCACTTCTTCAATCATGCTCTCAGTGACAGCTGGAAGAAGGAGCCAGTCCATGCAGTTGAAGCTGAATGACACAGACCAAAAAACATTAACAATAATAATAATAACAGTAGAAATAAAAGAAAATAACAAATAGAACAAATAGGATTTGTATCATAATTAACATGATTACTTTACCTATAAAGATATGTTCTATTTTTTAGTTCATCTTCACTTCTCCCTTGAGCAATGAAGTAGTCCTGCTTTATGCCCAGTAGTTTCCCCCAGAACATGACCCGTTTGAAATTGTAGCTTTTCTTCAGGATCAACATGGACGTCTGAAGTGCGGTTCTCTGTTCAATATTTAAAATACGTCCGCTGCAGGCAATGAAGTCCAGAGAATACGACAGCGAATTTGAGTCCATTGTTTCACTTCTCCACACAACGACACGTCTATGTTTTATTTGTCTAATAGTTGTTTAACTACTTAACTGAATGAACCAAGCCAACTCACGTACGAGCCAAAACTGAAACCGTCGGGTCCGAACGTTACTTTGGTTGTCATTGACAACAAAACATCGTTGCCATAGTGACCTACTGAACTGCTTTTCTTAATCGTTTGTGTGTGTGTGTTAGTTCACTTAATTTCCAACTGAAGCATGTAAGTTCGCCCTGCTACGTGCATTAGATACATTGTGTAACGAAAACCAGAAAAAAAGCAATCCCCAGGATTTTTCCAATCCTGGGGGTGGTGGGATTGGAAAAAGTGGTTTAAAGATCACCGCACGCTCAGCGTGTGACGTCATGCCCACCGGATGGTCCTTTTCAGACTCAGACGGTGAGAGTGCGTGATAACAACATGACTGAGCGCACTTAGTCCAGGAGGTAAGATCCGGTGACTGCGTTGGAATAAAATATAACTCAGACTTATCCTTTCCCAGGACACTTAGCTCACTGGAACGTGACTTCAGACCCTTTTACTCTTTTGGCAAGGGAGCAAATATGGAATTGATCACATTTACTCTGATTTCAGTTCAGCTGCATCCGCTTAGGCCACATTTCTACCATATAGTTTTGCTTGCAGGCCGAACAGTTCTCTCATCTGACTAGAGTACCTTCAGCATGTTTAAAGACTGTACTCTTCCTCAGTGTAGATTTGTGGAGTTCACAGCAAGTCTTAGCTGGGACACGTAAATGTTAATGGGACAGTGGTGACTAGAGAGAACCCACGTATGGACAGGGACCAAATGCATGACAGTCCTGCCAAGTTATGTGATACTTAGAGCTAATCTAACCCATGAAATCACGGTCAAATTAATTGTAGTTCGAAGTTCCAAACTGCAAAAATGTTCAATGTGTATATATATAAAAAAAAGCATTGTGTTTCAGGAGAAACACCGCATGAAGTTAGTTAAAGGCGTGGTATAATGCATTTTAAAACCGATAAGTTTTGACTTCTTTTTTTAACCATTACTGCTCTGGTGTTGCGTCTTATATTCTCTAGCTTAATAAACTAAACATACCCAGTTGTGACAACAATGCTGAACTGCTTTACTGCTAATAAAACCAAAAGGAAGTAGCTCATGTGGCTAGAAACAAATAGGCACAGACAGACAGACAGACACAGCTTTTGTGAAAAACAACAAAAAAAAGCTCCAAAACTTTGTAATGACTTTTACATGGTAATATCTTTTGACATTTTCCACCCCCATAAGCATCCCTTCAGACCTAGCACAGCCTATCC